TATCCAAGGAGTTGCAGCAGAAGCTAGATGGCTACGTAGGGCAACTGCAGGAGCGATTTAGGTGGTTTGGCCTCCTCTCCGTATGGTAAGGGTTTAGGGTTTAGGGTTTAGGGTTTAGGGTTTAGCTAGCTTACTGGGTAGCTAGCTAGCTAGCCATAAAGCTAGCTAGCTAGCTAGCTAGCTAGCTATCTTTGTTATGAGTTGGTGTGTATGCGTAGGCTGATGGAGTTGCAGAAGTTACAGGATCTATTACTACCACAAGTAGAGGAGACGATCCCCAAGGAGACGATCCCCAGGGAGACGATCCCCAGGGAGACGATCCCCAAGGAGACGATCCTCAAGGAGACGATCCCAGAGGGCACGATCCCCAAGGAGACGATCCCAGAGGGAACGATCCCCACAGAAACCTCAACGGAGACGATCCCCAAGGAGACGATCCCCACAGAGGCCCCCAAGGAGACGATCCCAGAGGGAACGATCCCTAAGGAGACGATCCCCACAGAGGTATCCAAGGAGACGATCCCCAAGGAGACGATCCCAGAGGGAACGACCCCCAAGGAGACGATCCCAGAGGGAACGATCCCCAAGGAGACGATCCCCAAGGAGACGATCCCCAAGGAGACGATCCCCGATGAATCTAAGAGGAAGAAAAATGCGGAGGATCAAAGATTTGAAGAACTCGTCACTCTTCTTATGGATGAGGTACACACCCAAACCCTAAACCCTAAACCCTAAACCCTAATTTTTTTTGTACTTGGGGCCCTCATGTCTGAATACCCTCAGGGCCCTCCCTACCTCTTATATATATACAGCAACGCGAATAGGGGCCCGTGGGTCCCCATGGGGGCCCCCTAAATGAACAGGGGGGCCCCTTCTTGTTGTATATATATATTCTGTTTTTTTTTGTTGTTTGTTGCTGCAGGATATGCAACGAATAGACAACTTAGAGGAAAGTCTTAATCATCTAAAAAAAGAAGTTAATGGTGTTAAGGCAGATTGTATCTCTCTTGCACTGGTAAGGGTTTAGGGTTTAGGGTTTAGGGTTTAGGGTTTAGGGTTTAGGGTTTAGGGTTTGGTTTATAATGGGGGTCAGTGTCTGGGGTTTAGGGTTTTCGCGTTGAGGCTTTCGCCTTAGGATTCTTGACGCGAGGGTTTAGGGTTTAGGGTTTAGGGTTTGTGCATGCAGATGTTAGGAGAGGATCTAATAAAGCAAGAAGTAGATTTTATGGGGAAGGCCCTCCTTGATGCAGAGGCGGAGGCTGCAGGGGCCCCTAACTAAACCCTTATGGGGGGCCCCCCTGGGGGCCCCCACATAACTTTGGGGACCCCTAACCAGGCTGTGGGGGCCCCCCTCTAACCTGTTATAGATACAGCATACAAGGGGGCCCCCTGGGTCTCCTCTTATTGGTTAGACGCAGTGCAAGTGTACAATATAGTCGTCTCTTTTAGGGGCCCCCCAAGGGGAGGCCCCTTAAGGGGGGCCCCCCTCAGCAGGACCCGTTAAGGGGCCCCGCATAAACACCCTTTGAGGGGCCCCCCGAGGCCCAGTAGATGGATGCCACTTTGAGTTGGTGCAGTTCCTTGCTGCTGCTGCTGCTGCTGCTGCAGCAGCAGCGAGCAGCAGGTGCTATTGTTGTAATGGCAGTTTTACTCCTTCCTCTTCCTTGGAGGCGATCCCCAGGGAAACGATCCCCAGGGAGACGATCCCCAAGGAGACGATCCCCAAGGAGACGATCCCCAAGGAGACGATCCCCACGGAGACGATCCCAAGGGGATTATATTTCCTTCCCTCTTTTTTCTTTTTCTTTTCCTGTTATATATAGGGGGACCCCCCATAGGCCAATGGTCCTTTAGGGGGCCCCTTATTATCTGTATATACCTCAAGGGGGCCCCCCCAATAACTTATTCCTCTTTCTCCTTCTCTATAGTAATTATATATGCGTAAATAATAAGAAAAGGAGACACTTTATATACACAAGGAGACATGCAACAGCATAACGTGACGCTAACTGCTGCTGCTGTTCCTGCTGCTGCGGTTCCTGCTGCTGCTGCTACTGCTGCTGCTGCTGTTAAGAAACTGTCTCCCTGTATAGGGGGACAGTTTATATAATATAGGAGTATATATACATATACATATATATATACACTCATATACATATATGCATATATATGTATATATATATTAATATATTAATATATTAATATATTTATATATTTATATATTTATATATTTTTATATATAAATACATATACATATATATGTGTATATTTATTATTTTTTATATATTTGTATGTGTATATATACATATATACATATACACATGCATGCACACCTCCTTTCTTCTCTTTCTTTACTTATATCTATAAATATAAATAAATAAAAAAGAAGGAATATATACTTGTTTTTATTATTTATGCTAAAATACCCTTTCTTATTTATTTATATATTCTACCAGGAGAGAGGCCCCTGATGGGGCCCCCAGGGGCCCCCAGGGGGCCCCCTACAAGAGGTCTTCGGCTAGTCCAGGGGGGGCCCCATTGTCTTGGAGTTTTTACCTCTTTGTTGCCTCTCTATTGTTCTATAGTAAGAATATTCTTTTAGTTGTTTATTCCCTGCTGTGTAAACCCTAGCTTCTAAACGCTAAACGCTAAACCCTAAACCCTAAACCCTAGCCTCTTGAGTCAATGCACACGGGTAGGGTGTCTTGGGGCCTCCTTCTTTAGCAAATAACATTATAAGGGTTATTCTTTTATATCTTTTTCTTGTTGGTGCCGCTTAGGGGCCCCATGGGGGCCCCCCTTCTTGCTGCAGTATGCGTGCACACAGGCAATGGGGCAGCCGTCTGCTCTCTGCTGCAGGTGAAGCCTTACCGAGGGGCCCCCCAAGAGGCCCTTTGAGGTGCCCTGTGGGGCCCCCTTCCATGGGGGGCCCCCTTCGCTCCTGCCGCTTAAATAAAGAATGGGCCCTAGGGTATGAGGAAGCCCTGTGGGGTCCTAATACGAGGCCAAAGAGCCTTGGGGGCCCCCTTAGACCTCTAGGAGGGCCCCCAACGGCCTCACTGCTGAACCCTTGCCGTTTCTTTTCTATAGGAGCGAGAAGGAAGGATGAGCTGCTGCAGTTGCTGCAGCAGCAGCAGCAAGAAGCAGCAAAACAACTCTCCTCTGGCTCTCTATGGCATATTTGGAACCCTCCGGGTATCGTCTTCAGCTCCAGAAGGTAAGGCAGCAGCAGCAGCAGCAGCAGCAGCAGCAACAGCAGCAGCAGCAGTAGCAGCAGCAGCAACATGAGTAGTAGTGGGTGCGGTAGCTGTAGCAGCAGACCTATAATAGCGGTATCTGTAGTACCACAAGCAGCAGCACTAACACCACAACTACAGGCAGGCAGCAACAGGAGCAGCAGCAGCAGCACAAGCAGCAGCAACAGCAGCAGCAGCAGGAGTATGTGTTGCTGTATTGTAGGCCTATAAAGAAGAGGGTACCTCCTCCTGGGGCCCCCCAATGGCTTGACTTTGCTGCAGCAGCAAACCCTCTTTGTCTATGGCTACTAGGGTCAGGGACAAGAGGGGGCCCCTCCTTCTTGCTGCAGCAGCAGCAGCAGCATCCGAACTTTAATTATGTAGGGGCTACTCATGACCCTCATGTATTGCATGCAGTCTTCTCTAAAGCAGCAAGGTAAGGGTGCTGCTGCTGCTGCTGTTGCTGCTGCTGCTGCTGTTGCTGCTGCTGTTTTTTCTGCTGCTTCTGTATTTGCTGCTGCAACTTGGTTGGAGGCTTTTTGTTGCAGCAGCTAATGGCCCTGTACCTTATGCTTAAACTATCATCGTTTGCTGCTGTTGCTGCTGCTGCTGCTGCTGTTGCTGCTGCTGTTGCTGCTGCAGGCAGTTTGGCTTCTGTGCAGATAGCCCGGAGGCATTTCCTTCTTTGCGTTTGCTGCTGCTGCATCCTTCTCTTGTCCCTCCTTTCTTTCATGAGGAAAATTTATTAGCAGAGACATGGATATATATGACTCTCCCCCCCACAACCAGCAGCAGCAGCAACAGCAGCAGCAGCAGCAACAGCAGCAGCAGCAGCAGAAACAGCAGCAAAAGGTACAAGAAAAAGAAGAGCCAACCACCTCACCCCCTCCTTAATCCAGAGCTGCTCGCCCGGCTACACCCAAAGTGTGCCCCTGGGGCCCGCGTGTATTTCTTCTTTGAGGTACAGCAGCAGCAGCAGCAGCAGCAGCAGCAGCATGAGCAGCAGCAAGAGCAGCAAGAGCAGCAGCAGCAGCAGATCCGTCGTCAGCTAATAGAAGCAATAAGACTCCTCCGTCTCAGCGCCATGGGGCCCCAGATAGAAAATTCCCCTTCTGAGCGTTTATTTGAATTCATAGATGTGGGGCCCCCCAGTGGGGCCCCCTGGGCCCCCTGGGGGAGCCCGTCGGGGGCCCCCCAAGGGTCTGATTATAGATTTGTAGAGCTGCGAGAAGACGACGGCTGGCTTCAAGGAAAAGTTGTACCCTATACTGTAGCCTTTGAGGAGGAAATAGAGGGGGGCCCCCAAGAAGCGGACCCTGCTGCAGCAGCTGCTGCTGGTGCTGGTGTTGCTGCTCCGCTGCAGCTGCGGCTTGCTAGTGGGGCGCATGTGAGGATTCTTGGAGGCCCCAGTGAAGGGAAACAGAAGAAGGGGCCCCAGGGATTGGCTTGGGGGGCCCCCAGGGTTCGTTTAAGCACGATGGTGGGGGGCCCACTGCAGCAAAGAAAAGTAATAATTTATTATGCTGCTCTTGTACGAAGAGAGTTGCGTCTGCCTAACTCTAGGTTTAGACCCTAAAAGGGCTAATCATATTTTTTTTGAGGGTTTAGGGCTTATTAGGGTTTAGGGTTTAGGGTTTAGGGTTTACAGTGATGGGTAACATCATCTTATACAAATATTTGCTTAACTCTTTCCCCTTAGTTGCTCGTAGTACACACTGCCTGCTGCTGCATGCGGGGCAGGCAGCAGAAGATAGCCTGTCTTAACAAGGAGATGCATAATAAAAGAGGTATTTATTTGTTTTCCTATTAAACAATTAATTATATTTATCTATAAAGACCTAAGTGTAACTAAGAAGAAACAAAACGCGAAAAGTTTCAACTAATGAATACAATCGGCGATTGTTGCCGCTGCTGTTACGCGGGGATTTAGGGCTTTCTTTCCTTTTGCTGATCTGTTTTAATATATTAAAATTATATTTAATTATTATATTATAATAAAAATATAATTAAAAAAGAAATATTATACTTACTATCTTACTGCCGGTTGCCTGATAATCCATAGAAGTCGTCAGCGCCTCCTTCTTCCTTTTGCATGCATGCATTGATTCATCATCAAAGAAGAATTTTTTCTCTTTTTTTCCTTTTTCTTTGAATTTTTATTTTAATTGAGTATTTCTTCTTTGAATATTTGAAGATCATTAGCTGACTAGGCACCATTTGTGCTGCTTAGGGGTCGATATTGGGTCCCCTTTATTATATTATAGCTGTTGAAGGATTCGTGAAAAAGAATAAGACTTAATAAAATGGAAGGAGAACAGAAAAGAGGAGGAAAAAGAGGAAAAAGTGGTCCTCGTGGATCAGGAATAATGTCCAAAGTAAGCGGATGAAATGAGCTGCCTATACACCCCAATGGTGCTGTTGATTCAAGAAAAGAGGAAAGCGGCTAATATTTCATTAAATTTGAATTTTTTGCGAATTTCTTTTGAATGAATACATTGAATAAAACATTATGTATTTATTTTTCATAAAGATCGTCTTTTTTATTCATAAATTACTCTAAAATACCCCTTTTTGTTTGTCCATCAGAGGCGAAAACTTGATGTAGGAAGAGGCTGCAAAGGCGTCATATTGACTTGTAACCGTAATCCTCTTGATGCATGCAACGAGTTTATTAATATTTTAGACCGCGTAAGGCAAAACTATTTGTTGTATAGCTACCAAATTACCTTTTTTCTCCCTTTATCGTCGTGCATGAGGAAGATGTTCTTTTAAACCTTCCCCCTTCCCTCCTCCCCTGCCTATCTGTTTATAAGGAATATAATTATGTAATAAAGTATAATGCTGCATTAAAGGAAAGAAAACAACTAAAAGATACATGAATAACGCATGCATTTATTCGTATTGTTTGTTTATGATTTGCAGTACTTGGAGGAGTTCAGCCCATCATCAGGAACAAACTCTGAGGGGTAAGAAAGTTATTTTTTATGTTTTTTTTATTTGTATTATAAGGAATTAGAGTTCATTATTTATTATTTATTATTATTTATTATTATTTATTATTATTATATATATGTATACAGAAAGGAGAAGAATAATTCTTGTTTTTTTCCTTCTGCTGCGGATATTGCTGAGGGAATAAATGAAGAATTAAAAAGTCTTTCTGAACATAAAAAAAGATTTCAAGTTCACAATCAATTATTACCTGTAAGAATATTTATTTATATATATAATATATATATTATTTATTATTATTTATTTATTATTTTTTTTTTTATTTATATTTTGTTTATATCATATATTTATTGTATATATTGTATGGATTATTTATATTCTTCCCTTTTTTTCCCTGGTTTTTCTTTCTGTTCTTCTTTTTTTTATATTTATTTCCCCTATGGCTACTACTACTACAGAAAATGCATGCATGCATGGATGTATGCACCAACACATACACGCATGCATAGATGTATGTATGCATGCATGCATGCATGCATGCATGCATGCATGCATGCATTAGTATATTTGTTATTATTGCATGCATGCAGGGAGTAGTGTTTATTCGTTTTACAAGAGAAGAAGATATTCCTTCTGTTATTTGTCATGGTCTATTAAAGAAAGCTGTAGAGACACCAGGCATATATTCTTGCAGGTAAAGAAAAAAAGAAAATAATAATAATAATAATAATTAATAATAAGAATAATTAATAATAATAATAATAAATATAGAGAAGGTATAATATATTTAGGGTTTAGGGTTTAGGGTTTAGGGTGTATGTGTTGCAGACATGTATCACGTATTCTTCCTTTAGATTTTTGTGTTTCTCCAACAACAAAAGATTTAGATGATGCATGCAGATCTATTTGCTGCTCTTCTTTGCCTCTATCAGCAGCAGCTATGAATCCGCATGCACAGACTCCCGCTGCTGCTGCTCCTGCTCCTGCTCCTGATACAGCTGCAGATGCAACTACAGCAGAAGAAAAGGATGCAGCAACAGCAACAGATGATGCAGCAACAGCAGCAGCATCTGCAGCAACAACAGCAACAGCTGCATCTACGAGCAGCGATGCAGCAGAAACAGCAGCAGCAGCAACAACAGAAGCAACAGAAGCAGCAACAGAAGCAGCAACAGAAGCAGCAACAGAAGCAGCAACAGAAGCAGCAGCAGGTAATTTCTCTACACACGTGTGCTTACTTATGCCACAGCACATACACTCCAATAACACTTGCTAAGAACAATATATTTATACATGTATATATATATATATT